ACTAGCTGCCCCAAGGGTGAAGGATGGACAATCTTCTTTTGTGTGCCTTATTTACTGCCTCTGAAAAATCTGGTCAATTATGGGTCAGTCCAAACGTGACGGTACATAACATCAAAGCATTGCATATATCGCCTGCCAAAAAAGTTACATTTATTGATTCAATGGAAGCTACCGAGTTTTCCTTGATTACTTCAATATCCTGAACATCCCATGGACTGCCAAATGAACAAAGAAGTATGTCTTTAAGCAAGTGCAGCCAGTGCTCCTTAGAGGCACAGATGACAATTTTGTCTCTCATAATTTGTGCATGTTCTAGGCAAATGTATTCCTTGGAGGGAACATCATGTTGGGAAAGTGGAGGGTCAGTGAAAGAGAGGAAGACCCTCTACCAGGTAGATTGACAGACAGTGACTGCAGCAGTGTGTCAGATTGTGAGGTTGGCACAGGATAGGACAGGGCTCGGAACTGTGGCTCACAGGGTCACTATGTGTTGCACTTGACTCGAAAGCACCACCAACAACATTATATATGTATGAGGTGGCTGAACAACATGACTTCGGACATTCCAAGATCTAATAGGCCATTGCCTCCACAATGAAAAGAACTTTCAATCCTTCAGTTAGAGATTAGATCTAAAAAAAAAAAAAAAAAAAGGATTAGATCTCTTGAAAGGAGGTGTAGTACATTTACTTATCCATTCCATCGGTGGTCAAGCTGGTTCCAATTCATACATACCTATCCTCACTGGATCTGACTACCGTAACTGCAGCTGCAGAGGAACTGAAGAGATTTTGAGTGTAGTGCATGTGGAGAGTTTCTGTCAGTTGTTCATAGTCAGTGCAGTGTCTCACAGCAACACGGTGTTTATGGGAAGAAACTGCCTACTATTCTCCTGCAAAGTGTCAGTAGTTTCAATAAACCTATCAGATTTCTGAGGCTGTAAAACCTCAGCTGGAGGAAGATGCCCATCTTTCTCCCAGGAAGCCACTGGTAGATTCAAACTGCTCGAGATGTGTGGTATTGCAGCACACTATGGACTAGGCCACCAAATCTTTTTATATTAGTAATAGTCACTCAAATAGATTTCATTCAATTCACAACATTGGCTGAGTAGATTCAAGAGCACTAAAAATGAGTACTTGCTCTTGAATAAAAATTAGTTCTGTATGAAGTGTTATGCTAGAAAATAGGGCCAGCTGAGAATTCTTCCTTATGGTCAGGAAACAGGAAAAACCGTAAGAAGTAGGAGGCTTACCAATCATGCCTGAATATTATGGACAGCATTGAATAATTATAGAACATTGAATTTTTATCCTTTCTTTAGACAAAAAGATTAGTGCTGTTATGACTTCATCTTGCTTGGATCCATAATAAACACTCTTGGCACAACCAGTCAGGTACACAAAAGACAAGTTGCATTGGGAAAATGTGCCCACAGGGACTTCTCAAGAGTGCCAAAGAGCAATGTTATCAGTCCAGAGACTAAAGTGTGCCTGATCCAGGCCATAATCTCAATTGCTTGCTATCCATCTCAGAGCTGGACAATGAATGACAAAAGAATCAATGACTTTAAGTCATGGTGCTGGAGAAGAGTACTGAATATACATACCACAGACTGCCAAGAGAACAAAGGGAGAAGGTGGAAGCAGTTTGCTCCATGGAGGCAAGGATTTTGTAATTCCACCTCACATACTTTGGACATGTTATCAGGAGGGTCTAGTCCTTGGAGGTCATCAGGTTTGGAAAGGTGGAGGGTCAGTCTAAAAGAACCTAGATAAGGTGGACTGACAGTGACTGGCAATGAGATTAGGTGTGTCAGAGATGAAGGGGGTCAGGATAGAGCAAGGTTCAGAGCCATTGTTCATAGAGTTACTATGGGCCATAGTTGACTTGACAGCACAGACTTTTGCTGTTCTATTCAAACAATCATACTGTGCATTTGAAATTCAGGAAAAAAATGTGTGCCAGGGTAGCATTCTTTCACCATATTATTCAATTTGTACATAGAATAAATAATGCAAGAAGCTGGACTATATGAGGAAAAATGAGGTGTCAAGATTCAGTTTGTTGTTATGAATAGCCTGCGACTCAGAGTGACCCTATGTAAGTCTATAGATGTCTCCCACACATCTATCCTCATTATCTCAGTTACTGTGTCAATCCATCTCATCAAGGGTCTTCCTCTCCTGTGCTTTCTCTCCACCCTTCCAAGCATGATGTCCTTCTCCAAGGCCCCCTGGCAACATACCCAAATTAGGTCAGGCAAAGCTTCAAAATCCTTGCTTCCAAGGATCAACCTGGCTTTACCTTCTCCAGGACAAATCTGTTTGCTGTTTTGGCAGTCCATGGTCATCCTTTTTCATTGTCCTGCTTTCAGATATGTAGCAAGTAATTGCAAAAACCATGCCTGGATCAGGTGTACCTTAGTCTCTAGCAGACATCATTGCTTTTTATCACTCTGGTAAGGCCCCTGACAGCAGATGTTCCTACCACAATTTGTCTTTTGATTTCCTAACAGCTGGTGCCAAGGGAACCTAGTAAGCGGAAATTGTTAACAATCTCAATCTTTTCTCCATCTATTATGGTGTTGCCAACTGGCCCAGTGGTAAGAATCTTTGTTTTCTAGATGTTGAGCTTCAGTCCATATTAAAGAATCTGTGATATGCAAATGGCACAATGTTGTTTGTTCAAAGCAAACAGGACTTGAAGCACCTACTGATAAAACCCTAACACTATACATAGTCTTCAGTAAGGATCACATCCTATCCTAACATAAAAATCTTCACAATAGTCTCTGTTGAATTCTTCAATACTGGCATTCCAACGTTAAAAAAGTTAAGTGAGCAAGCATGGATTCTCTCAAAGAATTGAAGGATTCATTCTTTGGTTTTCCCCCAACTTTGGAAAATGGTTTCTAAACAGTTCTTTAGTAAATGGATAGCATTAGGAATCTAGATGATAGGAAAAAGAATCATTATATAAAGTTCCAGAAACACTTTATTTAAAAATGGAGCTGTAAATGCATAACAAAATAACATAAGTAATAAATGTAACAAAAATAAATAAGGAGAATAATGTATTCATACAAAATAAAAATAACATAGTAAAAGGCAAAATGCTTATCAATGAACAAAACTGTAAACACTTAAATGATAATGTAAGTAGATTCTAGTATTTTCCTAAACAATTTCTTACCTTCTACTTCCATGTAGATTTAATCAGTACCCAAATATTAAATAAAAGAGGGGACAATGGTGATTAGTTTGACTTTTTAAAAAAATGGACTGACCCTGTTTTAATGTTTTATCTATTCCTTCAACACATTCTTATCTTTCCATTAATGTTCTCAAAAACTTTTTAAATTCTTCCTTTATTAGAGAAAATGGGGAATTTAGCTTTACAAGAATTAAGTTAATTTACTATTTTTCTTCAATTTAAAGAAAAATATGAGATCCATTATACAACAGACTTTCGTTTTTACAGCTCTACAAAAAAAAACCCAAAACACTTTTTTTGCATCTTTATTAACTGGTCCTTCCTTATAGAATTTTAAAAATCCTATAAAGTTGTGAAATGAAAAGAATCAGTTTGTTTCTTAAACAAATGTAGCATAGGATTATGCTAAAATATTAAAGACCATTTCATATAAATTGCAAATGCAGTTTTAATCTTTATAGACTGATAGGATCAAAGGAAAAATCCTGGTCTGCTAAAATTATTTAACTGAATTAAGAGTCATTAAAATTATAGTGTTCTGGAAACACAAAGATAATTAATTACTCTCTTATTAAACTATCCAAATGTGAATTTGGGGGTAAGAAAACAAATCTACAGAAGATGCTTTTCACAGGCTTTCTGTTTAGTAGCAGAGCCCCTAAGCCTTTGTCACTGTCACCTTCCAGAGTCCCTATAATGTGTAAGACAGACAGGAATCACTACTCGGTCCTATAGGGAAATACACAAGCAATTTAGTGCTTGGGAGTGAAAACTATCAACTAATCTTATGACTACTTTTTTCCAAGTCTCCTAAAAAAGAAGATTTTAACATGATTATTTCAAGGGAATTTTTTTCAACTGTCACATATAAACTTGGTAGCACATGACCAATATACATGTTCTTAGTTTAAAAAATATACTCCACCTAAACCGTCCAGTTTTAAATCTTTTCTAGTTACTGCTTGACTATAATGAGACAAAATTTAATTTTCATTAAAAACAAATGAAAAAAGTGCCAAATTGACCTTTTGGAAAGTGGAGTAAAATTGTGGGCATTAAAACAAATACAGTATTAGCAATCTCCTATGTACAAAGAAAGACAATTAATCATTATTGATATATAGATATGTCCACCTACCACTCCCAGCAAATCTTAGTGCAAACATAATAATTAATTTCTGTAAATCCGAACACAATTCGTGTAATCAAGGAGGTTTATAAATCACCTGTATGGTGGAAATTTTAGAACATAAGAATGAAGGTTTTGAAAGGCCTGTTTTACTGTGAAGAATAATATGTAATTGTATCCAATGGTAATGAATACTAATATAAAGTTATTATTAAGGAGTAAATTTAGTTGTTTAACAAATCTGTACAGATGAAGAAGAAGTCCATTTCAAGAGCAGCTTGGCGCAGGAGAGTCTCAGAAATGTTGGGTATTTAGTTTGCTTGGAGGTCACAGTATGGCTTAAAAACAAAACAAACACTAAGATCTATGAAGGGAATCTATGAAGGATGCAATTACAGAATTTAATGTGATAATCATAAGACCACAAAAGGTGAAATATCAGCTTTTTCCTATGTGTGCATCAAATGGTCATCTAAACCTCCCAAGAGGATGTGGATACCACAAGGTTGATTAAAAACAAGTAAAATTAAGAAGACAGGGATAGCAAAATGGTAGTTGACCAAGTTGTCTTGTTTTGTGTAAGTCAACACTATGCTGCTTCCAATATTCCTGGTCATTCCACAGGTAATTTTTTTTTTTAACAATCAAAACAAAGTTATTCATGTACTGCAACATCTTCCTCTTCCCCCTCCGGGTTGAACCTATTGAAATGTATGCTGAAATCAGCTTCTGTTTCAGCATTGTCACACTGAGCCGAGCCTGAGACAGCGGCAGAAGGAAGGGCCCTTGCTTCTGGTTGGCAAAGGCTTGGTGTCTGACCAGGGCTGCTGTGGTTATTCACAGGGCTGGACTTCTGCTTTGGTGGAGATGGTAATATCGCACTGGGAAATCCCATGTTATTCAGAGCCTCCAAAGTCCCATCAGGGTCAATCATAGCATTGATTGCTGAAAGGGAAAAAGGGGGTTGGGAGAAAAAAGATGTCATTCTAAATGCAGTTACATCTGGATGTGAATATTACTTAGGATTTGCATAATATTTCAATCATTGCTATTTACGCATTTATGCACTGCATTTAAAACCCTATTCTCAATAATTACATGGTTGACCTATAGGGATAAAAGGTATAGAACTGCAGGAATTTTCTGGTCGATTGAGTAGGCTTATTTCTGGGCATTTTAGAACCTGTTAGAAGAATGGGATTTAGAGATGTGAAATTCAAAATAGATCTTGAAGTTTGTTTTCATTAATATGATGAAAAGAAACCCCTCACAAACCCCCCCAAATCAAACAAGCTCAAAACACTAAAATGGATTGCTGCTGAGTTGAATCCGACCCACAGTGGGCTCAGCAGCTGGTTCCTAAGGCAGAAAATTACACGGAGGTGACTATCTACCTTTCTCCCACAGTGAATCGGCATAGCCATAGAGGCATGGCCTTTGGGTGAGCAGCACAACTCCCCACACACCAGGAAAATGTAACTCCCACTAGAGTGAGAGGACAGTAGAAATACTGGTCAAGATTTCAAGAAATACTCCCCATCCCTGGTCTTGTGGGTAAGGAGTTGCACTGACAACCCAAAGGCACATGGTTTGAATCCACCAGTTGCACTATGGGAGAAAGGCGGTCAATACCCTCCTGTGCGACTTAGTCTCTGAAAACCCACTGGAGGGTCAGCTATGAACGAGTTGGTTTTAACTGATGGTACATAACAACAATAACATTCTTGATTCAAAAGAGGCTGTAGATCAATGGCTATCATTGCAAATGTCAAAAGGATCTTGGCTAAATGCAAAGAAACACTAGAAAAATGCTTACTTATCATATACTGACTATGCAAAGGTAACTGACTAAATGTGGATTACAATAAATTATGAATAACATTGAGAAAAATGTGAATCCCAGAACAAGTAATTGTGCCTATGAAAAACCTATATATAGACCAAGTAGCAGTTGTCTGAATACAGTAAAGGAATACTAATGGTTTCAAATCAGGAAGTTTTCTCCTTTCTTCATACTCATTATTCAATATGTATTTTTAGCAAACAATTTGAGAAGCTGGACTACATGAAGACTGTGGCACCAGTGTTGAAGGAAGACTCATCAGCAACCTATGATATGCAGATGACACAAACTTGCTTGCAGTGAGTGAAGACGACTTGATGCACTAACTGAAGAAGATCAAAGATGTTAGTTTTCAGTACAGTTTACATCTTAACCTAAAAAAACACCAAAAATCTTTTCCACTGGATCAGGAGGCAACGGCCTAGCTACTAATATACCCCATGTAGCCTCAAGAAACCAGACTCTGTTATCTTCCTGGGAAGGAACAGTAACGAATGGCAGAAAAGATTCTTCAAGAGATGAAAAAAATTCTCAGAGTGGCCCCTTTAAAAGCGCACACCACTCTAGCTGTTAATGCTGCTGAGGGTTGGCCCTGACTCACAGCAATCCTACATATGAGAGAACAAGCCCCATCATGCTGATGTGCATGTGTCCATTCTTGCAGCCACTGTTCAATGCATCTCACTGAGGTTCTCCCTCTCTTTCACTCTCTACCAAGTATGGCATCCTTCTTTTGGGACTGGTCCTTTCTGATAACATGTCCATAGTAGGGAGCTCTGGCGGCCTCGTGGAAGAGGCCATGTTGCAATTCATAAAGCACACGGTTTGAAACAACCAGCTGCTCTGCAGGAAGAAGATGGGTAATCTCCTTCTGTGGGATCAACTGCTTCCAAAAACCAGCTGGAGGGTCGGCTATGGATTGGTTCTGCCTCAATGGTACACAACAACAAATAATCGGTCAGCTACGAGTTGGTTCTGCCTCAGTGGTACACAAAAACAAATAATCCTCACCTCCAAAAGAGCACTTTGGCTACACTTTTTAAAAACACATTTCTTTGTTCTCTCAGAACTTCATGGAATATTTAATGTCCTTTCCGAGACCAGAATTCAAAGGCATCAATTTTTCCATTGTCTTTCTTTTCACTGTCCAACTTTCACATACGTAGGACATTGGTGGAGCTACCATGGTTTCGTCAGGCAGGCCTTAGTCCTCAAAGTGACAGTTTATCTTTAAAATGTCAAGAGGATTTGTCCTTGAAATACATCTTGTGATTTTCTGATGGTTGCTTCCACAGTTCACTGTGGATCCAAGTAAAATGAAATCCTTGACAACTCAAACTTTTCTCTGTTTTCTTGATGCTGTTCACTGATCCACAGTGGGAATTTTTGTTTTACATAGAGGTGTGCTGAAGGAATTTAATCCCCTCAATATGTGCTTCAGGTTTTCTTCATTTTCAGATAGCAAAGTTGTGCCATCTGTATAATGCAGAATGTTTATGACTCTCCCTCCAATCCTGATGCCATTTTCTTCCACATAAAGACTAGTACTGTGTGAACAAGCTGTAAGTGTACAATTATGAGTTTAATTTCATAATCATTAGGTACGCTAGGTTGCTGTTGTTGTTGTTATGTGCCGTCGAGTCGTTTGCGACTCAAAGCGACCCTATGTACAACAGCCCTAAACCCTAAACCCTGCTCTATCCTGTGCCAATCTCATTGCCTCTGACACACCCATCCCGATTACCCCAGTCACTGAATCAATCCACCTCATAGAGGGTCTTCCCCTCCTGCGCTGTCCCTCTACTCTACCCAGCATGATGTCCCTCTCTAAAGACCTGTCTCTCCTTACAACGTGTCCAAAGTATGTCAAACGAAGCCCCAGAATTCTTGCCTCCAAGGAGCAGCCTGGTTTAACCCTCTCTAGGATGAATCTATATGTTTTCTTGGCAGTCCATGGTATATTCAATACTCTTCTCCAGCACCACAGCTCAAAGGCGTCAATTCTCCTATCCTCCCTAGTCACTGTCCAACTCTTTGATGCATAACAAGTGATTGCAAAAACCATGGCCTGTATCAGGCGCAACTTAGTCTCCAGAGAGACACCATTGCTCTTGAGTACTTTAGAGAGGTCCCTAACAGCAGACTTTCCCATCGCAATACGTTTTTTGATTTCCTGGCTACTGGTACCAAGAGTGTTGACAGTGTAGCTGAGCAAACTGAAGCTCTTCACCATCCACCCTGATGCTACCGATTGGTCCAGTGGTGAGAATTTTTGTCTTCTGGACATTGAGCCTCAATCCATATTGAAGGCTGCAGTCTTTGACCCTCTGCAGTAAGTGCATGAGGTCCTCCTCAGTTTCAGCGAGCAGGGTTGTGTCATCTGCATAACGCAGATTGTTAGTAGATCGTCCACCAATCCTAACGCCACACTCCTCCTCATAGAAGCCAGCCTCTTCGATAATCTGCTCTGCATACAGGTTGAAAAGGTATGGAGATAGGACACATCCCTGGTGTACACCCTTCCCAATTTTGAACCATGCAGTGTTGCCCTGCTCTGTTCTGACTACTGCCTCTTGGTCCAAGTATAGGTTTCGCATTAGTACGATTAAATGTTCTGGGATTCCCATTCTTCTCAGAGTCAGCCACAGTTTCTTATGATCCACGCAAATGCCTTTGCATAATCAATGAAACACAGATAGACATTCTTCTGGTATTCTCTGCTTTCAGCTAAGATCCATCTAACATCAGCTACAATATCCCTAGTACCACGACCCCTTCTAAACCCAGCCTGGACTTCCGGCAGTTCTCTGCTGATGTGCTGTTCCAGTCATTTTTGGATGATCTTCAGTAGAATCTTGCTTGCATGTGAAATCAATGATATTGTTCTGTAGTTTCCACACTCAGTTGGGTCACCCTTCTTTGGGATGGGAACAAATATAGATCTCTTCCAGTCAGTTGACCAAGTGGCTGTTCTCCAGATTTCTTGGCACAACTTGGTGAGCACATCCACGGCAGCATCTGTTAGCTGAAATATGTCAATTGGTACACCATCTATTCCGGGGGTAAATACCTTACTGTCAATAAGGACTGAGTAGAGTAACAAAGTGATTCTGGAACCTTGATATACCACTAGAGGCTTTTCTAGGTTAAACCATTCATGAACGATCCAAATCTGACAAAAATCAAAACAATGTTCTTAGCAAAGTTTATGAGGCAGGCAAATCTTTCATTCTCTTCTCTCCTTGCTTTCTTGGTTCTTATGGCCAATATACATGGATTTCTTGTGACTGAGCAAAGAAATTGGAGCATTCTGACGTCATAATATGTAGGGAGATGCTCTGCTAGTCCAAAGGTGGCAACTCTTTAGGGGTTCGAATTCACCTGGGGCTCCATGAGAGAAAGAAGAGTGTGCTCCTCCAATGAGATTTATAGCCTCTTTAAAACTGCTTGAGGGTCAGCTATCTGTTGGTTCTGACAGCAACTGACATTTGGGCTGTTTTGAGCAAATCAAGTGGAAGCTCTGGTGGCACAGTTTGTAGTAAGTTGTGCTGCAAATACAAAGGCTGTGTGTCCCTGGCGGGTCAAACCCATTAAAGGCTGAAGGGAAAAGATGGGCAGTCTCCTCTCATTATGATTTACAGCCTCAGAAACCTGATGAGTCATAACAACCTGACCACAGTGAGTTTTTCATCCAAGTAACTGATTTGTATTAAAGTTTATTTTAAGATGTTAAAAATCAAATAAATCATGCTAATTGCCAAACTGAAATTAAGTAAGACATTAACTATACGTATGCCTTGTTGGTTTCATTGAACACCAGGTTAATAAAATAATATTTTTAACTGCATACATATATTAATTCATTATATATAACAGAATACAGAAAATTTTGAATCAGTTTTTAAATATCAAGCCTACTGTTAAACATATGTATGGAAAATGAGCCCCAAATTTAATTTTACTGTCTATTTACTTCTCTATATTCAGTTTATTTATCCTAAATTGTTGGTTTTTTATGTTATTGCAGAAATAAGTTTACCTTGCAGCTGTTTTTCAACTCTTTTCAATTCCTGTAAGATAGAAGAAATCTCCTGCAGGGAAAGCAATGACAAAAATTGGCATACTTTAAAACATTCCTATTTAACAAGCAATTAATCTCACTTTCATTTTATTTGTGATACTTAACATAATATGCATGGCACAATATTAGCATCAACATTACAAAATAACTATCATATGCAGTCAACAACAGTCACATTTTAAAATCTTTAATGTTTAAATGAATTTTTTTTAATTGAAATAATGATGTTAGTAGGTGATGAAAAGTTTAAGATGACTTACTAACATAGGAGCGAAGCTTTTGTAAACCCTGTCATGTTTATAAAATGTTGTGCTGAGGCATTTCTTTGGGAAAGGGGAACCCTGAAACCCCTGCTTCATCTGGAAACTGGATAATTCCCAAGTCATGAAAATCCACTCAAGAACTTGAAGGGAAACAAGTGTTCCATTACATAAACAGAAATGTCATGTCAAGTGAATATCTGAATTTAGTTCCTATTTAACACTGTATATTTATAATATGTATAATGTAAAATTATGCACAAGAGCAAAAATAGGTTAATAAAATGTAAGAAGCATAAGACGCTTACATTCTCTGTAACTCTGAAGTAATCAATATTTTAAAGTTCTGAGAGAAAGCTGGAAGTGTAACACTTCCCCAAATTTGTGCATTTTTATCTTTTTAGAAATGTAAGACATACTAACTTTCCTTAAAATTAACTGTGTTATGTGAAGATTTTACTCTTTGAGAAAAAGGTGCCATACCATGCTCGATGTTTTCACAATAGGGACTTCACTTTCAGTCCTTAACTTGCTTTCTATTTCATCCCAATTCCGATCTTTGTCTTTAAACAATATTCTATAAATGAATAAATAGAGGCACATTAATTTTCAGATTTTAAAAACCATGCTTGCTGATTATAATATCAAAGTAAACACATGTTTTAGAAGCCGCATAAAGGTAAAAATAAAAGGCCTAAACATTGCATGAATTGAGAATACTGAGTCAACATTAACAATAAAATCATGCATGTGGGGGATCTCTGTTTTAAAAGGAAATGAAATGATTAATACATGCATATGCCCTTTATTTTTTTATCTAACTTTTTATTAAAAACAAAAAAGAAATGCAGATTATATAACCCTAAAATTATATCTATTTTTGATGAACACTAATTGTAGCTTATCATGACATCAGTTTTTCCCAAATATATGCATTATAAACACAAGAAGAAATCAAAAATAAGAATTAAGATAGAGTTAGGTATAAACGTTTGTGCCTTATGTTAAAAAAAAACAAAACCCCAAAACATTTTTGTAGAGAACATTTAAATAATGTGAGCTGAATTAAAAAAAATAAATAAATAAAAGCATGCAACTGCTTTTCACTATCAAGGTGGAATTAGCCTCATCTCCCAAACTAATCTAGAGAGACCATCTATATACACTTCACATGATAATCTTTTGAAAATGTAAATATTAAGTAAAAAGAACCTGGAGGAAGGGAATATGTATTATACATACGTGTCCATGCATTACTTTGGTTAAAAATGTAAATTTAAACTATAATAAAGAGAAAAAGACAGTGCAGATTACACTTCTTTTTGACATAATAAATTTTAGGTCAATATTTTTCTGGAAGATAATAAAATGTATGAAGAGTCTGAAACATTTTGAAGTATGAAAGGATAGGTGATCAAGAAGGCTCAATTATCACTTAACATGTTCAGTAAAATTTAGTTCCACAGATCAACCTTCTTTATTTGACTGGAAGAGAAAGTGAACTCTTTTATAGCTGCTGAAAATATGTTTTCCCAAATGATTATTCTTTAAAATTAAATAGTTTCTTAAGACATTTTTGAAATAACTTTGAAACCAATTAATTACTTTTCTTAAACTTAAGAAGTAGTAGCCTCATAATGCAATAAAGATGGTATGTGATATGTTTTCACTGCTTATTGGTACTCATCAAACACTGATGAAATACATTATTTCAACATACAAACAATGAGATCATATTTGCATAAAATAATACAGTTCACAAAGCACTTCCAGTTTCACTTTATTTAAAATTTTTAATTATCTACCTACAATATAACATTACTACATTTCTTAAATGTTTTCATACTACAGTGATAAGCTTATGTTTTAAATTACTGATACTTGAAGCTGTAAAACAGTACTTGATATTTTCTTGGAGGCTAATCTTTTCTAAGGCAAATACCTTTATTCAAAGTGTGGAAATTTAATTTGACGAAAAGGAACAAAAAAGCAGAGGGGGTGAGGTTCAATTAAAAATCCAATTATATAACACATATATATATGTGTGTGTGCACGCGTGTCTATATACATATTACATTTCTCATGATAGTTATTTGAGAAATGACGATACTTATAAAAAGGCTTCAAGTCTTTTGCTCATAGGGTCACTATGAGTTGTGCTCGACTCAACAGCAATCAACAACAATAACATTATAACTACATGTATGTGTACATATGTACAAAACGATAAATTCTTTTTCACCTCACAGATAGTGAAAACATACTTATTCCTGTGTAAGATAATATTAAGGTACAGAGACAACAGGTGGTTCGTTCAAGAGGACATAGTAGGAGGCAGAGGTCAAGCACAGCCTCAATTCTTTAGGCTCATTAGTCTGGTCCTCTAGTCTCTGCACTTCATTAGATCTTCTTTTCCTCCACTTCCTTCATTCTTTAAAACTCATTCCTTTCTCAAGTTCCCTTTTCAATGACTCTTTTCTAGCAGTGGTCAAGCTATAAGGAACAAAACTATTTCGTCAAATATGTGTTTTAAAATTGTTTATTATGGAGTACATAATCCACCAGAGGAATATAAAGTTCAAAACAATATAGTCCCTATTCCTAAGAAACCAGGATAGTGAAGGGATTAGAAACTGGACCAAATAAAATATAATTCAATGTAAATGCACACTAAACATATTAAATCATGCAACCAAAAGGACATCATCTATAGTATTTTAATTTTCAGAGGGCTTCTACATAAATTTTCCGAGTCTCACAAGTGTTCATACATTTTTCCCATTCCTGGTACAGGAAATTACACAATAGCAAACTCTGAGATTCTTATAAGTAAAATCCTAGAAACCTGTTAATTTAAGAAGTTTACAAACAGTTTATAGGAGCATTAAAAAAACCCTTTTCTGATTATGAATAAAATTAAGTGATTATAGCTTTTATTTATCAGCTATGAAAAATCTGACTATTAAGAGTTTTTTTTTAAACCTTGTCATGCTGTCTAGCATTACTTACATCTGAAATGCCAGAAATATGGTAGTAGCAGCAGTAAGAGTTTGTAGAGTTGACCTTACTAGTTCAGCTGTGGCAGCAGGTGTGAGAAAGTTAGATGAGTGATGGTTAATTACCTGATCTTTCCAGCTGTTTTATCTATAGATTGTCTTATTTTCTTAGAAAACTGGAAGACAGATGACAGCAGCAAATTGTCTCCCATGACCTGAAATATCCAAAGACAAAAATATTACCACTGCATCAAAATATTACCACTGCACTGTAGACTCCACCAACAAGAACAAAGTTCATAAAGACATCAAACAATAAATGCTGGTAAGGGTGTGGAGAGATTGAAACTCTCACAGACTGCTGGCAGAAAATGTAATATGGTGCAACCACTGTGAAAAGCAGTTTGATGCTTCTTTAGGAAGTTGGGTGTAGAAATACTATTTGTTCCTGCACTTTCACTACTAAGTATGCATCCCCAAGAAATAAGAGCCAGTATTGGAACAATTACATATACACTCATGATTATTGCTTCAATATTTATAAAGTTAAGAGACAGAAACAACTTAAGTGTCTACCAAGAGATGAATGGATAAAGAAAACTATGGCACAGTCATATAAAGGAACACTATGCAACACTAAAAAACATTATTCACAAAACACTATAAAATGAATGAATCTGGAGGATGTTATTCTGAGTGAAATAAACAAGTCACAAAGGACAAAAATTGTATAAGACCATTTTTATAAAAGCAAAGGAAAGGTTCACACACAGAATAGTTAACAGGGATAGGAAAGAAAGGTAAGGAGAATAAGAATAACAAATAGCTAAAAGAGGTAAAGGAAAAGGCAATATACAATAAGGGATTGATCAGACAATGAAAGAAAATAATTACCAATTCTAATTAATATTACAAAAAATATGCATGAATGAGTGAATTTGGTTTATAAATTTTCTCTTAAAATTACATGCAATAGAAAGTAACTAAATGAAAATTTTTAAAAAGGAACATAAAAGGCATAAAATTGAGTAAAAATACTTAAAAAAATAGCTAAACCATACCAAACACTGAGAGAAGAGTTGACACTAATTGTATTAAAATTATTTCAGAATATAAAAGAGGAAATATTCCCAAACTCATTCATTGAGGTAAGCACAACTTAGAGACCAAAGCACTCAAAAACAAAAGTGTAGACCACTGTCTTTCACTAATAGAAATGCAAAAATTCTTAATAAAATCCTAGCTTACAAACAACCCATTTATCATTATCAAGAGGGATTCATTTGATCATTCACTTTTAGAAGATGGTAGATGGTTTTACATGAGCAAACCAATCATGCAATCCACCACCAACAAAAAAGGGGAAAGAACAGCCTCCTCATCGCCACTGAATTTGAAAAAGAAAAGCATTTAACTAAATTCAACGCCCTTCCCGGATAAGAATACTCAAGAAATGAGGAACTGAGGAGACCTTTTTTCAACATAATGAAAAGTGTATGTACAAACCCAAAGTTTGCTCAGTGGAGAGAGACTGAAGGCATTCCTCTTGTGAATGAGAACCAGACACGTGTGCTCTCTCACCACTCTATACAATAATCTATTGGAAGCTGTAGCCAGAGCTACAGGTGAAAAAAAAGAAAGAAAAAGGGCATCAAAATTGGCAAGCAGGAAGTAAAACCATCTCTAATTGCATATGATACAATCAATCCTACATATACAAAAGTCTAAGGATTCAGAAAGAAAATTACTCGATCAATTACTTGGCCAATACAGCAAAGTGACATGGTACAAGATCCACATACAACATTAAGTCTAAATGCTTTACAGAAAGGAGAAATCTGAAAAGGATAGTAAGGAAACAATGCCATTTACAATAACCACCCAAAATATGAAATATTTAGAAACAAATCTAATGAAAAATACAAATGATCTATGGGGGGAGGGGAAGACAGAATAGGTATACAAGTAAAAAGACCAACATAAATTGGTGGTGGTGGGGGATGGCGGGCAGACAACTCCATCCAAAAACCAACCAAAACCAAGTGATGTTCATGGATAGAAAGACTTAAGAGACTTTATTTCATTCACAATCATGACTGAGCTGGTTGCCTGGATTTACTGGATTTAGCTAACAATCAGCTGCGGGCTGGTAGCCTCTTGTTTAAGTCAATCAGGACCTGGTGAAAGGGCTTCTGTAATTAAAAGTTGGTTGGGCCCTAGGGCCGGGTGATAATTGTATTTCGGAAGAACATTTTTCTCAGTGGTACAACACTGGTCAGTTTGCTATACTGAGGTAACTTGGGGTTGCTATGATGCTGAACGCTGTGCCACTGGTGTCTCAAATGTCATAATGGTTACCCATGGTAACAGTGTTTGGTGGAGCTCCCAGATTAAGACAGGTGTATTAGAAGGATTGGCATCCACTTCCTAAACAAGATGCCTTTGGAAACTATGAACATTAGAGAAACGACAATAGTTATAGAACAAAGTTCAGATCTTTTGTTCATGGGGTTGCTATGAGTCATCCTTGACTTGATAGTAATTGACAACAACAATATTATGAAATGGCAACTATACACAAATAAATGCAATTTTGATCCAAATCATGGCATCATTCATTGAAGAGATGGAAAAAGTCTATGTGGAAAACGACTCACAAGAATAAAGATAAACTAAAAAAAATTAAAAAAAAAAAAGAAAGATAAACTGAAGAAGAAAAACAAGATAGGAAGTTTTATAATCATTCCTGATTTCAAAACCTACAATATAACCACAGTCATCAAAACAGCTTGGTGTTGGTATAGAAACAAGTACACAGAAAAAGGAATAAATAGAAAACCCAGAAATAAATCCATTAAGTGAAGAAATGATAGCCTCTTTAACAAATGTTGTGTTGTTAACTGTTGTCAAGTCAAGCACAACTCATAGTGATGAACAAAAGGCCTGAAGCCCTTCCATAACTATCATCATTTATCAAAGTTCATAATTTCCAGAGGCATGTTGTTTGGGAAGTGGATGCCTCTTCTGCTTCCCTTTAACAAACAGTATTACAAAGACAGAAGAGGAAGAAAAGACCAAAATGGATGTCAGAAGAAACTCTGAAGATTGCACTGGAGCGTAGAGAAGCCAAAGCACAAGGAAGGATTCAAGATACTAAAGAGCTGAACAGAAGATTCCAAAAGGCTGCTCGGAATGACAAAGCAAAATACTACA